ACTGTGTGAAATCCCTCCATGGGAGGGATTTAACTGTCTGTGTTGGCAATTTTTCTTATAAGTTCAGAGTAAGATATAGTATTTTCAAAAATAATTGTAAAACCAATTCTTAATTGCTAAGCTTGCTTAAGAGATATGTCTGCTTTGTAATCCTTCTGACAGAGACCATGTTTACTCCTGCCATTTTCCAAATGCAAAATTCTGAAAGCAAAGTATACAAAGGGCTTTTTAGGCACAGTCCAGAGTTAGTGCCCTTATGTGAACATCAGGCACATGATGCTTCCACTTAGTGCAGTGCAATGTACTACTCTCTGTGCTCTCAGAGTTGTCAGAACCACTCCTCCTCCTCCTCTCTGGTGTTGTGTGTCCTAAGGGAGCCTCTATAAAGACCTCTGCAGGTCTGCAATGCTGCCTGGCCTTTACAAGAACATTGCAAATACAGTAAAAGCTGTGTTAACTGGCATGAGTGGGGTAAGGGGAGTGCCAGGTATCTAAAATTCCAGTTATCTGAGGCAGGGGTTTGGGAGGGTGTGGGGTGGAGTGTGGCAGCGGCTGCATGTGGAGTGACAGCAGCACAGAGTGATGTGTGGTGGCTGCGGTTGCCGCATGCGAGCTGCCCCCCTTCCCTGCCCTCCTCCCCATGCGTCCGGCTGGCCAGCCGGAAATTCCGGTTAATAGAGTATTCTGGATATAGTAGACTGCCGGTTAACACAGCTTTTACTGTACAACCTTCCTCCTGTGCAGCCAAGTATGGACCAGACAGAATTTGACCCATGGGAGAGGATTTTTTTAAATATTACCGTATACATTAGACTTTGCAATTGCTTTTTAACCAAGCTTTTGCTATCAGTTTATGACAGATTAAAATGCAGCCTAGATAAATTAATTGCTTTGAGGCAGAACATCCTGAGAAATTGGCAGAAATACATGACTTCCTCCAAAGATATACTTTCCTTGAGCCTCAGTCTGCTGGCTACCTGCCAGTGTAATCTTGGCACCACCACAAGCTCTCTAAGATGACTAAAAGCACTGCAAGGTGTGTAACTAATTTTCAACCTGTACAATGCACTCAGGTTTGTGCTTTTGGTTCCGAAGTTTAAAACACTTTCAAGGAAATCTCCAGCCTTTTTTGCATTTTTTTGTTTATAGAATTGGAGCCAAGAAGTGTCTGTTCAGAACATTTACTCTTAATATGTTCAGTAAACAGTGAGAGGGAGGGTTGGGAAAGGAAACCTAGTTCCCACTAACGATTGTGAACATCCATTTGTTTCCATTACTGTCTTTTCATTTTATTTGTAACTGTGTCTCTGCTCCCTGAACTTTGTCAGGCAATCTCTATATCTAGTGGGCACTTTAAATTTCAGTTATACCACCTGTTAATTTTATTTACCTAAATCATACACAACTTAATATAGTACACAGTTCTCTACCACCACCATCAATGTGTTAGAAAGTGCTGACACTTTCCAGCCAGGAGTAGTTATCTCAGTCCACCCATTACATACTATTAGCCCAGCTAGCCAAAGTTCAGGAAGAAATTGATAATGAAGTCTAAGTATCTTCAATACAGTTTCTTTGCTCTCAATTCCAAATGTCTTTTAGCCAGCTCAAACTAAAATCTCTCTTTACTTTTTCTTAAAGCTAAACTGTAGGTGCTTCTCTCCTTCCTGTTCCTGTTCAGTTGTTTTTTTTAATTCTGGTTTCCTTCATAGAACCCAGAGAGACGCACTTCCAATGCAATTTGCTATATCAGTCCTGAAGGAAACTCCCTTGGGCCACATGTTTTAACTCCTACTCAAGCCTGTTTTGAATACTGCCTTGGTTGCTTCAGCTACCTAGTTACATAAAGAAGCTTAACGGCTTCATTACCTTTATCCTGAATGAAAGGCAGCTGATATACCCACCAACTTCAGCACAGTTTAACTTTATGCACATAAATACCAAATATATTTAACCAATGGCCAGCTTGCAACCAATATACTGCACTCTCTCTGGCAACTTCCCAAGCACTGCTACAATACTTTGCTCCTTGGTCTGAATACCATTATTGAAAACAAAGGATGCAGAACGTTACTTAAAGAAGGATGATGGCTAATATATAACATCATAATAGAGTCTCTGGTTTACAGTCACATGCAGAAGTAAATCTGGTAGATGAAATACTAGACTATTTATTGATCCACTCTGTGGCAGGAAAGCTGCCTATTTCTTCACCCAGAGTCAAAATTACTTCTTATGTCTTTCTGAGGTATACCATACAGGTAGCAGCTAGCTCATAAAAGATATGTACACATGAATGACAAATCTGGATGGATTTCTTTCTCTTTTGCTGAATGCCCAGTTAAAAATTATTTTTGTATAGCTGTACCTCTTTCTTAATAGAAAGGGGAATGGCAGGATGGGCACTTTTCAGCCTGAGAGCCAAAAGATGGAAATCACTGACACTTCCGTTCTGCTAGTTTTCTCCTTTACCTTGCCTGTTCCTGTTTCTACTTCTGCACTGCTTACCTCATCTGTAGCTTTTATAAGTAAACTGAGTGGAGAAAAAGGAAGAGGACAAACACTCTGTTCTTGTACCACCGTCCTTTATTCCTCTGGGAAATTTTTTGTTTTACTTTTTACCTGATTATATCTTGGCACAGATATCCACACTTGAGGGCAACGACATTGGAAAATAATTCCCTTTGAAGCCAGCCTCATTACTGTACAGGGCATTGACAGAGAGAGGGTGTTCGTGGAAAGGCAGAAGCTCTTTCTCACACAGCAAAATCATAATGTTCAGAGGGCATGAAGTATCTAGTCTATCAGATCTACTTCTGCATGTAATTGTAAGCCAGGGACTCTATTATGATGCTTTATATTAGCTGTTATCCCTCTAAATAAAATTCTGCTTGCTGTGCTTTCAGTAATGTTCAGACCAAGGAGCAAAGCATCATAGTAGTGCATGGGGGAGTTGCCAGAGAGAGTGCAACATATTTTGTCTAATTTCAAACTGTATTTAAAATTAGCTGGTATGAGTTTATGTCCTCATGACCATGAATACACTAGAGAAGTAACAGAGCAGTAGAGGATATGAATTCAGAGTAAGTGGGGATTCTGCTTTCACAACATATTGAAAAAAGACGAAAGGACAGGAACTGGGGATCTTGCCATTTGACAAAATAACTGTCCCACATTTAGGAGAATGTAAAAGTGTAGCATACTGTGATGTTATCCTGCAGCATCCCTGAAAAGAGGTATACTCCATGGACAGTTCCTTATACCCTGCCACAAGGTCGCTGCAGGAGTCATCTCTTGGGGGGGAGCCACCAACATCTATCTCCAGTGGAACCATGCTATCAAGAAACCACAGAGATGCTGGGAGCTAGACGCAGGGGGGAAGCACAAGAGCTCTATGTAGGTCCTTGGCAAACCATCAGTTTTGCGAGTGGGATCTACAGATTTTGTTTTTAAGGGCTGTCACCAAGATGGAATGATGGGTAGGTGTTCTTGTGAGCAGGGTTAGCTTGTAAGAGACTTGTCATACACTTCCTCTGCCTATATCTTTTTTTGAGGGTGTTATCACAGGAGTGGACATTCTTAAAGAAACAAGGTGAGGGTTATTTTATTCAACAGGTTAACTGGTCTTAATTGTGTTTCTGTGCTCTATTTATACACTGATGCACTTTACCTTGGGGATTTAGTAGCCTAGTGCTATATACAGTGCTGTATACAGTGCATTCGTTCTGTGAAATACTGTTTTATTAAGGTACAGTGGTCTAGCGTGTAGGAGGGTGTGTACACACACACCACTGATATCTATATCTATATCAGTGGTGCTCAATCTTTTGGCCCTGCAAGCCAAATAAGTGATGTGAGGCTGGTCCGCAGACTGGATTGGACCCCACAGGATTGGGTCTGCACACCCAGATCCAGACTGCTGGATTGGGATTGGGGCCCACGGACCCTGCACTGCCTCTGCTTGGCTCTGCATGCCAGGATTTGGGCCCCAGGACCTCACACTGCCTTTGTCCAGCTTTGCACACTGCATGCCAGATCTAGCACTTGGAGCATTACAGGCTGGATCAAAAGGCACCAGGGGTGGGATCTGGTCCCGTGGCCAGGCTTAAGCATGTATATCATAACTGACTATACTTACTTATATCTAAGATGAGGTTCTCCCCCCAGTCAACATGGGGGAAAAAGTCCCTCATCTTATATTTGCATATGTAGTAGGGATGGGGCAGGCAGCTGCTGCGGTTCTGACCCTGGCCCTGAGCCCAGGTCAGGGCTAGAGTCAGACCCACAATCACTGCCTCTTCTCCCTCACTGCTTGCCCTATGCTGCTTCTGCCCCTTTCCCACCACTCCTTTCTCCCCCTTTACTGTCAGACACAAATTAATTCCAGCTTGGGCTGGATTTTCTCTCCAGCACGGAGCACATGGAAACTCCATCCTCTGCCTTGCCAATCAACTGTGCCACCACTTGTGCGTGGCCCAGCAAGGGCTGCGCTTCTGTGCGCTAAGCTCTGTGACCCAGGAGGAAACAGAACCCAAGCAGCATCTGATAATAAATTGGGGGGGAGGGGGAGGGAAGAGGCAGAGATTTTGGGAAGTTGGTGGGGTAGAGAGACTGGGGAGAGTGGTGAGGAAGGGGAAGAGACCATGGGGAGTTGGGGGGGGGGAAGGGACAGAGATTGGGGGAGCTAGGGGTGGAGGAGTGCAGGTATCAGAGCAGCAGGGAGGCTGAGGACTTAAATATGAGGGGACTTGATCCCCCCAGCCATTGCTTTCCCTTCTCTAGCCAGGGTACAAGGGGGAAGAATTCAAGGCACCCCTCTGATAATTAGATTTTGTACCTGGAAAATTATAGCAAATTTATAAATTTTCCATGTATGTAATCTAATTATTGGGGGGTTGTCTTAGATTCAGGGTTGTCTTCGATTCAGGTAAATATGAGATAACATTGTATTCCACTAACAAGCTTATCATCTCCCCCCTCCCCCTTTTCTTTTTTTGCAGGCATAGATGTTCTTCACCAGTTAGGTCTTGGGACAGATGCACAACATTCATCTACAGTGACTACAGTGCCATTATCATCTGCTCCATTACCTCAGGGGGTTCGCCTAACAACATCAGGAGTTCTTTTAACCAGTGATGCCCACATTGAATCTCCCATCACTCAAGTCATACCATCAAATCTAGGGCATCAGCTCACAATACTGATTGGGTTGCATTCTTTCAGAGTCAATAATGCTTTTCTTTTCAGTATTAGAAACAAAAATAGACTATGGTTTGGTATACAGTTGCTACCAAGAAAGGTAGTGGTGTATATAGGGGGGAAGGCCTCAGTATATTTTGATTACAGTGTTCATGATGAAAAATGGCATTCATTTGCTATTGACATTAGAGACAAGACTGTCTCATTGTTTGCTGATTGCGGAAAGAAGTATTACAGCAGGGAAACACTTTCTAAAGTGCAGGCATTTGATTTAGATGGTTTGTTTACCTTGGGAAGGATGAACTCTCATTCTGTCAGTTTTGAAGGAGTAATATGTCAGTTGGATATTATCCCTTCTGCACAAGCCTCTGCAAACTATTGTAAATATGTGAAAAAACAATGTCGTCAAGCTGAAACATACCGATCTCTGCCGGCAGTTCCCCACACATCAGCTGAGGTCTACTTTCCAAGCAAACCATCTGATGAAAAAAGGGAGTCAGAACATATATCATCTTATTTAAGAAAAAAAGCATCACACCTTCCTGTTAACAATACTGGAATAGTCCATACTCTACCAGATCCCAAGAAGTCAACAAATATCTCTTCAACAGAACTTGCTAAATCTGAACTCCTGCCCATCGAAACTAGACCTAAAATTAATATCCAAGATAATTTTAGTCTGCTATTTCATCAAAAAGACCTGGACAGAAAGAGGAATGACACCAAAAAAATGCCCAAATTGCATCCAAATCTTTCAGACAATGGCACAGAAAATGCAGGCACAAACAAGGAGACCCCTCTGGTCTCTTCTGTATATCACAGTAAAATGAAAAACACAGGAAAGGATAACGAAGTGGAGCAGCATTTAGATGAACCTGTGGAAATACAGCAAATTTTAAACACAACTCTGTACAGGGATATTGTGGACTCATCCTTGGATAACCAGCTTAATCCGTGGAGGGAAGATGCAGTTGATGCTGATGAGTCTTATAATGCAGAAAATAGTTATGATATGGATATTGACAGTTATGCTTATGACTATGACGATCTTGAGAAACTGTTTGAAATGGAAGATGTGAGAGGCCCAAAAGGGGAAACTGGGCCTCCCGTAAGTTGTCTTTATTATATATCTTACAATAATACAGTAGCATTCATTTAACAGCAGGCTTTGAAATAAACAGTGCAAAGTATAACAAAGCTGTGATTGAAACATCTCCTGAATGCACTTTGCAAATTCATGGGTACTATAAGATGTGCATCTCTCCAGAATGTAATTTTGGTCTAAAAGTGTGTGTGTGTGTGTGTGTGTGTGAGACGCAGAGAAACTATGTATATAAATGTATATATAATTTTACTGGCACAGTACAAAGACATTCAGTTCTTGTAAAGTAATAGATAACCCAGATGTCTTTTTTTAATGCAGCTAGGCATTCATAAATGTTAAATATGGAGGCATCTCACTTAAAATATTACAGAGTAAATTCATACATATTTAAATGTTAAGACCAATGTATGAGAAGAGTGGATAAAATAACAAACCAAAACAAATAAGTTTTGTTTGTAAGAGTTGCGTGCTGTATTGCTCTGATTATAAGGTAACCTCCATATATTCAGATTTGGTTTTAGGGGGAAAAAGCTTTTTGAATTAATATAAGTTGATAACTATAGATAAAGGCCTTGAACTGCTGTTACCCTTACAAAATCCTACAGGAGAAACAAAAAATTAAGAAAGGACCCAAAGGATTAAATGCACCAAACATACCAAAATTAAAACTGCATGGAAGAAAATTCTGACTTGGTATTTTTACTGCATGCATGCACAAAAAATACTGCAGGACAGGTACAAAATTAAGATTGTCAGTGTTGATTGTAGGTCAACCCCATGTATAAGTCATATGCAATTTGTATGGCTCCCTTTGAGGGAAAAAGACTTTTATAATCAGAACAAAGTAATTTCAGTTGAGCAGTACTCTTAAAATTTAAAACTGCATGACAAAAAATAAACTATGCAAGTAGAAGAGTGTGCTGTCCCAAGCAAATGAGTCAAGAACTTAATTTTCAGGCAAAGTTTTCAGGATCTGTACCAAAACATATTTATAGTATTCTTACATTGACTGAAATGTAATTTTATTAGTTATTGTGGTAGGCAGGCTCCAAAATGTTTGAAACTCATGTTAGTCTGTTCTTTGATATAAACTTTGTTTCACTTCATCTGCTTTATTTCCCTAAACCTTCCCAATGCATTTAGAGGGAAACTCATATATGCAAGATTATAGATGGAAAAGAGTGTTTCCCATCATGCTTGCTTAATTGGAGAAATAGGATAGTTGATGCCTATTTTCATTTTTGGTTAAAAGCCATAAACCATAGAATAGAGTAGATAATTCCCCTTGCTCTCCTCTGTGTTTTTGTGGTTATTACTGGAAAGTTATTTGATATGCGTTAAGCAGCTCCTAATATATGTTTGAATGTGTCCATAAATTTACTGTATATATTGTATCAGCCCAAGAGACATCTTTTACTGAAGCTAATCATTAGCAAGTAAAAACATATTTAAGAACCCAATTTTTACTTTAAACAAGATCCAGATGTTTAGGGCATGTGACACAAGTGAGAAGTGTGTTAAAAACTAATTAAAGTTAATCCACACACGATCTTGCTCGATCCCCTCTGAATGCAGTTTCAGCCCTTTAATTTTTTACACTTTTGCCCTTTGTAACAGTGCTTCTGTAGTTATATCATTTAAGTCAGTAGTTCTCGACCTTTTTAGGCACAAAGCAACTCTCAGAAAATGGTGGCTCTTAGCTTTCAATTGCGTTCAATAGAGTAATTCTTCTGTTGCAAAGAACACAGAAAGAGCGTAACAGGTCAGAATGTTTTTGATGCTATTTGAAATCACTGGGTTTATCTTTTGAATCATGTGTAGGTGTTTGTACATCTAACAGTGCTAATATTGTGCAGTAGCCTTAAAAGCATTTCATGGCACCTTAGGGTACCACATCGTCCTGATTGAAAATCACTATGATAAGTCCTTTGCTATCACCAAGATGTCATTAACTCTCATTTTAAAGTTGATGACATTATAGCCAATAGTATGCAAGAAATGAGAGTATTTTGATGATATCTTGTACTGGACAAACTACATAGTTAGGAGAGATGTTAGGCAAGCTTTTGGGCACAGTGTGTCCTTCCTCAGGTCTGTCTTTCCTCCTAGGTCCAGGCACCTAATTTTTAGCCATTATGACACTAAAGCTGGAGGCAGCTAGGGACCAATCTGGATTTTTACCTTACCCTTGATCTTTAAGATTCAACTCAGTGTCTTAATCTCAAAATCATCCTTTCTTACTGTGGGCCACAAGTCCAAGTCCAGAGCTGTGCTGTTCCAGAAGGAGAGGAATCTCCCCCTTCCTGATGTCCTCCCCACTAGGGCATCATGGGAAATTTGAACCAGTAGAGTCTCTAGAAGGATATTCAGTTGTATGCCCAGATGTCTGCAGTCTGATTCCTGGTGAACTGCAGTGAACATAGGGAGTGCGGTGAAAGCTCCTTCTTCCCTTCTAGTACAGCTCCAGTGTGTGCTAGAGCAGTGGTTCTCAAACTTTTTTGTACCGGGACCCATTTGTAAACGTTGGCCAGTTCCGACCCAGTGACCTTCACTCCTGACCTGCTGACCCCTGCCCCCAGTGTGTGGGGTAGGGGGAGGTGTGTGTGGGGTGGGAGGGGGTGTGGGGCAGGGTTGGCCCCTAGCAACCCCTTGCAACCTAGAAGTCTGACAGTCTGCAAAGGAAAAGCCATGGTTTCCCACATTTTTCTCCTTTTAAAGGATAATCCATTTTTAAAATTTGTTGATCCATTTTTAAACTTTGTTTGCGACACTTTCATGTATTTTTCAACCCACAGGTTGAAAAATGCTGTACTAGAGCAAATGATCTAGACCTTGGGTTCATCATCTCATTACTCTGCTCCCTCACTCAGACTGCTCCATTAGAGCACTTATTGAACTCCATACTACCATTTGAATGGATTAATATCATTCACATTCCTGAAGTTTCATCACTGGAAAACTTGAGAAAGAGACAGCAAAGAACTTTCAAAGTTCTTCTGGAAGCAAAAAAATGCTGATGAGGCATGAGCCCATTTTTTTGTTTCAGGATGTTGTGGTCTTTTTGAATGCTCTGCAAGGATTTCAACAAAGTAACATTTGTCCTATTGGAGCTGACATGCAATAACTAGCTTTGTGGTTCTCAAACTCCTCAGCTTCAATTTAGTTTTTAATCATCTACCATTGCCAATTCTTGCCTAGCCTAATTAGGGCCCCTTGTATTCCATGATCCCACAGCTTTGGAATTCAGCCTTTGGTATTTCAGTTTATGCTTCAGAATTTCAGCCCATTTACAGATAATGTATGGATAAAGCACCCTTTTTAGTATTTCTGTAAATGTAAATACATTGCTATAAAAATCTATCACTTATGTTAACCAAAATCTCCTTTCAAACATGAAATGAGTCAAATTGGTACAGTATGTGTCTTCCTGAGGCTGAATTAATAGTTTCAAGGCAAGAACTGACCTGTTCACCTGAAGAGGCTTTTATTACTTGTATTGTAATAATGCCTGTGAACTCTGGTAGTATACTAAGACTCTATTGTACTACGTGTTATATAAAAACATTACAAATATATGAATCCTGCCCCAAAGAGGCCAATCCTAAATTGTTTGCCATGACAGGATGTATAAATGCTATGCTGACAAAGAAGATCTTACCAGGAAACAAGTTCTAATTGTCTTCATGACTGCAACTGGAAGCAGGTCATTGAGTAAGCAAGGAAACGGCTAGAGGACTTGGCTTTTCTGAACATGAGAGGCTTAAGTGTGCAACCTTTCTGGCTGAGGAAGATGCTCAGGCTTTGGTTTGGGCTCTGGGTTAAGAGAACAAGGTACAGTGAATTGCTGTTCTCTAAGAGCAAAGGGCCTAAAGGTATAGTCAGGAGGAGGTAAAAAGTAAGCTCTGAGAGGGCAGATGTCAAAATTAAGTTTTAATTGGAGTTTTCTGGAGGACTTGGTATTCAGGGAGAGGAATAGAAGAAGAGACCAGATGTAGTGTTGAGAAACAACAGGAGACAGGACAGTATTTCTTGGGTATCTCATTTGGATTCTGTAAACAGAAGAGGTGGGAGTAAACATGCTCTGGCTGGAGGCTGTCATGGAAAAGGCACACCACTGCCCAGGCCCATGCCTAAGGTGGCCATCAGCAGGAGGTCTGCATGAGGCCAACTGTCTGAGATACCCTCCAACCTATTGAGGGATATGTTGGGCATGAATTAATCAGACTTCCACCCTGCCTTAATTTCAACTATTCCATTTGTTAAATGTCATAGAATCAGAGAAAAGTACAGCTGGAAGGGACGTCTGGAGGTGATGTAGTCTGACAGCTGCTCAGAGCTATCTATACTATCCTAGACAAGTGTCTATCTGTCCTGTTCTTGAAAACTTCCAAGGGTGGAGATTCCACAATCTATCTAGGTAGTCTTTTCTGATGCTTAATCACCCTCACAGTGAGAAAGTTCTTCCTAATATCCATCTTAAATTTCTATTGCTACAATTTAAGACCATTACTCCTTGTCTTATGCAGCCACGGAGAATAGTATATCACCTTCCTTCATATAACCACTTCTCCAAATATTTGAAGACTTTTTTTTCCTATAAGCTTTCAGCTTCAACCCTGACTAAAAACTTGGGGCAGCATATAGAACACAGAATCTAATAGCAAAGAACAAGATGGGTGCTGTGCATAAGATGTTCTGTTTTATTAAATACAAAAAATGAACAAACTTGTTTTCTGCTAGAACAGTAAGGCAATGGAAGAGACTGCCTGGGGAAATTACAGAATCTCCTCCTTGGAAGTTTTCAAGAGGAGGCTGGATGGGTTTTGGACAGAGATGATTTAGGAATAGCTTGGGCTGTCTGAGGGGGTTGACCAGACGGACCCTTGCAGTCCCTTCCAACCCCGTGATTCTAAATAGGGAATAACTGATTGGGAAGCAGTACTGAAGAAAAAGATCTGGTGTTATAATGTATTGCATACTGAATAGCTGTCAGCACCACGGGC